ACTCTTTCATTCAAAAAACTGAGCAGGGCTCACTATTTTGAAAGGTGGCAGGTGGAAGTGGGCTGTGTTTTTACCCAATAAATATTTCATGTTAAAAAAAAAACCGAGAGAGCCAGTTCCAGAGCAGAATCAAGCTGTCTCTCCAGCTCTGCTCTGCCTGACTGGGAGCAGAGCTACAAGTGTGGGTCTCCCTCAGTGCTCTTTGCTACCAGCCTGGTGACCACCCCAAGCAAGGCTTTCCCAGTGCCTCTTCTTGGAGCTATTGCTCTTCCTATAAATTTTTGGGACAGCTGAGGGAGAGGATGAAGAGGGCATGTGCACACGTAGGTATGGGTCTTAGGTGGATCTCAACCACCTAGAAAGAAGGGACTAGGTGGTGGTTGTGGTTTGTTCATTGTGTTATGTCTTGTGTTGGCCAAGTCTTGTGAGGGCTTCAGGTGTGATTGAAGGCTCCAAGTGTAAGGATGTCAGGATATAGACAGCTTTTGCATGCGCCCCAGTGACAGCCCTGCAGAGGCACCTGAACTGTTTTTGGTGGACTCAGCATGACTTAAACACTCAACTGCTACCTCAGTTCTTCTGGGGATTTAGGACGAAGTATTTGCACAGCTGGAGGGTGGGTAAGAAGGGCAGACCTTCTTGTGTCAGTGGCCACAAGGCTACGTTCCTGCCTAATTCCTCAGAGGTGGCTTTTCCTGGCACTGCTCTGCAATGCTTCCCTCTGCCAGCATCATGGGGCAAGACAAAAACCAAGAAGGGGTCTGCTGGGCTACAGTTGGGGTTAAAAACTTGTCTCTCCTAGTGCATCAGGGGGCTTATTAACACGTAAATGGTGCTAAATGTGTATGCCTACCACCTGCTCCTAAAAGAAAGACCCTGCTAAAGCCCCTGTTCCAAGGGGGGTGGTGTAGGCAGGTCAGGAGGGATGTTGGATGTGTAGGGTATGCCCATCCTGACGGGGCTGCAGAGCACCTCTGGAGCCAGGTGTTAAACTCTGACACAGAGGGACTGGACCCAAAAATCCAGCATTGCAGGTGAGTGTGCTCCAGGCTCCAGAACTATCCCAGCCCCTTTTGGGACTCAATACCCCCTTCCCAGGCTGTTCCCAGAGGTCCCCTCCTCCTTCCATACGTCTTGGGAGTGTCTCATGGCTCTTGGGCACTGGAAGATTGTTTAGTTTAATGGTTCATTAGGTCAGGCAGATTCATCACAGGCAGGATGTTTTTCCAACGTGTGCCCATCTTTTATTTGTGGGTGGTGAACATTTGTCCTCATTCCCCAGGGTGGCAACAGGTTGCTGTGCTTGGGGGTGAAGGACATCAGCTCCTCTGCTTCTCTCTCACATGACTGAAACCTGGGCTGGCAGGAGTAATTTTCAGTTTGAATTAGCTGATGAGAGGGAGGGACTGCAAAACCTCTCAGAAAACTCCCAACCTAACATGCTTTCATTCAAACCAGCCTGCTTTTTCATTTCAACCAGGCGCCTGCCCCGTGCCGTGTGTTCCTAAGTGTCCTGCAGGCTGCTGCAACTGGCTGCTTTGGGAGAGGTTAAAATACAAACTGAGGGCTTTTGGTGGAAGGTGAGTGTCAGGCAAGGCTGATTCCCATGTAACAACAGGGACTGTACCAGAGCGGGCCATCAAATAGACGTCTAGAGACAAATCGCAGGATGTAGAGAGCAGATAACAGTGGAAACAACTGCAGAGGTGACAGCAGAAATGTCCTTGTACCTGGGGGATGTACAGTCTGGTCCCACCCTGACTTTTGGGAGCAAATCAGGAAACCATCTTCTTAATTAATAAACTCTAAAAACACCCATGAGAAAAGAAAATGCCTTTATTCTGAGAGGTGGGGGCTCTTACATGTAATTTTTTTTTTTCTAAGGCAGACATAAAAAGACTCCATAATTTATTCTTAGGACATCTGAATAGTTATTTATTGAGAAGCCACAGTTCTCACACTTTTACAACTGTCGGCTTGTATAAGGCAAAAAAAGCAAGATGGATCACTATTTTACACAGAAAGTAAAAGCTCTGGATGGGGGAACTGATGGACATGCAGTTACTGGTCAAAATGCAATGTACATGACATATATAAAAACCATTGTGAAACAGAGGATTTGTAAATTATGGTTACAATCTACTGAAATAAATATTCAATATATTATTATAAACACATTTGTATAGTCTAAGATTGTAATTAAAGTTGTCTTTGTACATACACGGTTATTTGAAATTTAAACAAAAATGTAACATTTAGAGGAGCAAACGTCAACATAAAACAACTGCTTTGGACTTGTAATGTGGCATGATATATCCATAATGATAGGATTAATCTGGTGTGGCAATTAGAATGACTAATCCTTTGGGATGTAGCCTCTATGGAGTTAACTGCATATTGAAGGGAAGAGCCTGGTACATTAACAGGGATGCAGAATGATTCAAACGGCTGTCTGGGTTTGTTTGTTTTCTGGTTTTTAAATGAACAGAGAGAACAAAAAAAAAAAATTTGTAATTGCCTCATTCTTCTTTTAAAAACAAAGCTGGTTTTTTTTTTTTATTAATTTTAAGCAGTTGGCATCCACAGAAGAGAAACAAAGAAATGAAAGGACTCAATTCACTCATCTTCACAACAATTTACCATCAATGTATATACAGTACATTAATGAAGCATTGTTTAAACTTTAGTTATAACAGGGACACACCTAGCATGTTTTCTATGTAGTTTTTCCATTAACAGTATTAAACAATGGTGCTCCATATTGCTTATGAACATATAGATATGAAATTAGGAAACCGATGAATCAAAGAGAGGTGCTAATCTTATTACCACACAGCTAACATGGCATTTGTATTGGTAAACGTCTCATGGGCATTTAGAGCTGACATAAAAACTCCTAATGTGGCTAACTGAGTTACAGACGAGGTACATGCATGGATACCAGGCCACCCCCAGCCGGTCCTCGAGGCCAGCTTCCTTAGTCATCCTCTTCATCCTCCTCATCGCTGTCCTTCATGGTGATCCCCTGGAGCCCTCCGCCTTCGCTGACCGACGCCGTGGCCTCCTCTACCGTCAGCCGGTTCCGGATGGTCTCGTAGGTTTTGCTGTTGAGAGTGGAGTCCAGCACACCTTGCAATCGGAAATCCCGGTACGTTTTCTAAAGTGGGGAGAGGCACGGAGGAAGGAGGAGACAGCACAGAGGTCAGACCCCAGCTCCCCAACTTCACCGCAGGAGCCAGCCCGTGCCCCCATGCCCAGAGCTTGGGGCCACTAAGGGACACCAGGGAAATCCCAGGGAAATCCCAGCCCCCGGACGTTCTGCATTGCCCCGGGCAGCACAGGGGGTGCAGGAGGGTCTCTCCCCATGGCAAAGGTCCCTTTGGGGTGCCTTGAGCAATAAATTACAGCTCTGCCGCTCCAGCCCTGCCTTTGCAGGGTGGCTGGGCAGTGTGTCTGCATGCAGGCTTCAAAGTGGGACGTACTGGGAGCTGCTCTGGGGAGCTTTGCATATGGTAGGCTGGGGTCTCAAAAAAACACTGGAGCAACAGATAAGGGCTCTGCTCCGACTAACGTCCCTTGCTTCTGGATGTGTTCCCCAGCCTGTAATGTCAGTTATTTTTCTTCACGCAGCAGAATGCTTATCGCCCGTAACTGCAGATGTGATTACATGTTCCTGGAATGCTCTGTATGAAATAATCCTACCTACAGTATTGGGATTAAATAAACTAAGTCCAGGACACCAGGGGAAATTGTTGAGGTATAAACATAAGCACACAGCACGTGTTTCTTAAATCTCTCTTTCTTCACCTAATTCTGAAACTGGGGTTGTATTTCCATAGTTAGCTATATTTCCCTTGTTATTACAATTAATATATCTCATTTGAATTTATGTTTAAAAACTTCTTGACTCTGTGAGATAAAACTCTGGCCCTGTAGTTCATTTCATTCTGCTCTGTGTTCTGTGTGGAAACTATCTACTCTTCTGCTGTTTCTGAAAAGTCCTTGGATTTGTTGTAGCTGCTTCTGATTGTAATATTGGTATAAATAAAGCACAGGGAAGAAAGCTTTCCTCAGCTAGCTGACAAGTAGAAATAATTTGTCTGTGCCTGTTGTTTTCAGTTATGAAAAGCACATTTAATACATTTCAGTTTTAATTTATTCATGCCTTCAATGTGTTCACTGCACACAAGACCATAAACATTATAAAATACTAGACCAAAAAGCATTAGATAGAACCTAAAATGATCAAAAATATATTTACCCCCTTCTGTGATCTTATTATTTCATGTAAACCACTGCGATTTCACGCTGAAATAATTATCATTAGTCCAAGGCACGCACACACACACATATACACATACATGTGCACTCAAGGAAAAAAATGTTACTTTCAGGGTATGTTATCTCACCTTTGTGATCTCTTAGAGTTGATTGTATACACCCATTGTAAAAGAAACAACTTCAATTAACTATGAGAACAATCCTTATTTGCATTCTGATGATAATCACAAGCCATAGCTGGGCTTAAATTTTTATAGCAAAACAGTGTTTAAAACTTTTGTTTTGCTTTAACACTGGAATTCATTGGTGTCATCAACAAGTTTGTCCAGAAAAAGGGCTGCTTTTGGTGTGCTTATTGCACAGGTAGGTCAAATAGCAATGGTTTTCCCTTTTTTTCATGCAAGCAGTTACTTTGTTCTTATTTGCACACCTGTATTTTGCATCTATATGCATTTCAAGTGCCTGTTTATCCTTTGCTACATGCCATACACACATGTATCTTGATTTTTAAGAATTTTTAATGAATGGCTTAATTTATTGGCTGGCAACAGTTTCCCTAAGAGAACATGCCGCACACATGGAGACACACACACTCTCCTTCCGACAGCAAGATGGTACCGGACACACATCAGACAATTACCTTTACTATCCTAATGAGCGTTTTCAGTTGGTAAATGTGAAGCTGCAGGTCCATGCGGTCCGTCAGCCAGGTGCAGACAACATTCATCGAGCTGGTGTACCATTGCTGCAAGAGAGACAGGACTTCTCCAGCATCCCTGCCAGGGCTGCGTGCTGCGCCCCGAGCACCACGGGCTGCACTGCACAGTCAGCACCAACCTGTCCCACCAGCCAGCCCGTCCCAGGGACGTGACCGGCTCAGAGGGGGACACAGGCACCCACTCTTACACAGAGTTTCCATGCATGAGCTTTTCCATTTTAATAATAACAACACCAAACTTTTGAAGAGGGGCAATGGCCACCAGCAACGCCGCGAGGTTTTTGTAATCTGATTTTTGCCGTTGATGGGACTTGCCAGCAGCAGTGTTCGTTTGGCCCAATAAATTTTTTAACCCACTCCCCACCCCAGTGAGAGCACAGCACTGCCTTTAAGTGTGTTGGACCCACACTCAAGCTACTTACCGTCTTGAAAGTCAAACATAACCAGCCACAGGGCAAGCCTGGTCCCTGACGGCGAGCAGAGGGGAGGCTTGGGAGGGGCAAGGTTTTGCTGCAGGGGAGGATACCTGCGGGTGCCTGCCCCTGCTGCACGGGAAATGTTTTGGTTTCACCCTCACAATTATGAAAGATAGTAAAGCAGCAAACGTAGGAGCTTGTTTCAAGCTGCTGAACTCACAGGACACCTCCAGGGGTTGAAATTTTGCTGCTTGTCTGTGAAAAAGGCTCGCAGCTGTGTGGCAGCAGCCTGCCAGCCCCGCAGGGCAGGAAGGCTCCGGCGGGCTGTGGATCAGCGCCCCGCTCACGCAGGGCTGGCATTGCACGTCTGACACCATGCAGACGAGCAGCGAGACCTCGAGAGGAGGAAAAGCAGGGACTGTGGCGGGGGGAATAAATAAAAAAACCAAAACCTCCCCAATGTGCTCAGCACAAGGGTTGATTACAAAGTGGGCTGCACACAGAAACCCATCACGTCTCTGCACAGTCACAGCCTGCTCTCACACACTCTCTTACACACACAGATAAAAATCCGTGCTGCAGACCAGCTGCAATTAATCTAGAACCAGTTAAAGATAAAAAAGACCCTACTGGACCAGTTTATAAAAATCCTGATCGAGCACCATCCAGGTTAGTGGCTCAAATGCATTTCTTCCCCCCCTTCACTGCACCTGGGGGGGTGTGACTCAGACCCATGCCCTCTTCCTTCTGGTTGCTGAAACTGCCAGCCTGCAGCACCCACACGCTGGCACAAGGCTGACCAAACCAAACACGTGTCCAAGCTAAACCAGCCCAGCATCACAAAAATGTGGGGCCAACACACATTCTCGAACTGTCCGGCAATGCACCCAGGTGCACCGCGGCAGGCAGCAGGGGTTAGTCGTGCTGCATGGGGAAGGGGCTTTCCCCCACCTCAGTGAAGATATTCCCATACTTTTATTTCTACACCAGCTCTTAATAAAATGGAGGAAATGAAGGGGTGGAAGACTCACCAAAGAAATAGCACATGGTGAGCTCTTGTTTGATGCTTACACCATGTGCAACTTGGGGCAGAGATTCTTCCTGGCCCTTCATCCCCAGGATGGAGATCTGGCACGATCTAATAGCTCAAATGAAACTAATTCAGACAGGCAAACAAAAGCTTTCTGCATAACAGAAATCACGTTCAGGTACTGTTAGCTGGCACCTGAGGTCCTGACTGGGGTTGGGTGAAGCACCCTGGTTAGCTGACCAAAGTACTAGCTGTGAAGGTCTGGTGTGTCTTCATATTTTCCAGTCCTTCAGCCCAGTCTTAGATGTCAGAGCATCCCCGGATATCCCCCAGAGAGCCTGAAGTGCCTGTGGGTGCTGGGACAACCTCTCAGGACACACGGCAACCCTCTAGGGGGGTGGCATTGCTGTCACGGGGGGATCTGCCCAGGTTCCCCTGTAATGCTGGGGGCCCATGTGGGCAAAACAGAGAGAAATCATTAATGTTTATAATGCTAATTTTCTGCAATTAACATGCTTAATGAGTCATGCTCTCCAGTGATGTTAGCTGTGACCCAGGGCTGTGCTGGCACATGGATGCCCAGGTCACCCAAACGCCACCGCTTCTCTAAATGAAAACCCACAGAGGAAGGAGGTGCCCGTATGCACGCCCTCTCCCTTCCACCGCTGCCTCTCGTCTTCCAGGAAATGATCTGATGGGTGTTCATGTCACCTCCAGAGGAGATGAGAAGTCCCTGGCAAGGGCAGGTCCTGCCAGTTCTGTTTGTCCCATGCCACACACCCCTACACGGCTGTATAGATACAAAGCAGAAATTATAACCTCTGCCTGGAGGTTATCGGCAAGGTGGCTTTGCTGCCGCGAGACCTTCAGATGAGCTAAATGAAACACTTCGCTGTGTTTCTGGTAGGCACGCCAACATGCTGGATTCTGGGGAAACACAAACCCTTCTGAGCCGAACCTGAATTGTGTCCCTTTCCTCTTGAGCAGCGGCTGATGAGGGCTCAGCCAGGCTGCATGAAAGGAGCTCTCTTTCTCAAAGCTCAGTTACTCCAAAGACTTTCTGCTTTATGAGAAAAAGACAAAGTCTAATTCATTGATCTTGATACACAAAACCGTCACGTCACTTCATAGAGCACACACCAACTGCTGAGTTTAAGCCCTGCATATTCATAAAAATAAGTTAGCCCATAAATTAAATGTTCCCTTTAGCTATCACTAGTGTTGATGTGCTATAAGATGCACAAGCCCTCTGATTCATGACTAACCTACCAAAGAAGATAACATTTGCATATGATTATATTATTAAAAAAAAAAAAAACAACAACAAAGCCAAATGCTCCAAAACAGGCACAGGATCATTTCAGACAAAAGAGCACAGTGTGGTCCTGCCGGGACACCAGCCACCTCGCTCTCCCAGGCAGCTCTGCCATTCCCCAAAGGGCAGCGGGACACACGCAGGGGATGCAGGGTTCCTTGGGGCTGCAGCTCCAGCCTTGCAGCTTGTCCCCATACACAAGGTGCAGTGGCCACAGCCCAAACGCTGAACTTTGGGGCCTTAACATGGGGCTGCAACACATTTTGGGCACATTTCTGGAGTCCCAGGGCCAGCGTGGCGTGGGCACACTGAAATAACCAGTATAAATATATTTTCTCAAAACTCCTCACATCCTGTTGTAAAGAACAAGTCAGCCTCACTGATGGTCCCAGGTCCGCGGACCCCCCAGCTCCACACATCTCGCTGCTGCACACACGCGTTACTGATGCTACTGGCATCCCTGCCCGTCACCTGGAGGACAACTCGCACTTATTGGGGGGCATGGGGTGAGAGGGTGCATCCCGGGGGATGTGTGGTGGGTGCCATACATCCACTGGGACACATCAGTGGGGAAGAGAGCAGGGCTCCCATGGGGGTCCATCACAGCCCCCACTGCCTGCTGCCGTGTGACCTGGCTAACAGTGGAGGAAACCCAAACAGACACACCTTAGGTGCTAGCAGAGCCCAGTCACAGCAAGCAGACACCGCATTTGCACAGCCAGGAATTTAGTCCCTCTTTCAGGTTAGTTTTTCTGTTCCCCTTCTGTCTTTCACAGCGACCCTCATTGCTAGGTGCTAGCCCGGGTGGGTGAGGTGGGCCGTGGGCTGTCTGGGATGCTCCTGGACAGGCGTTAGAGGAGCCGAAGCATGCCAAGGGATGGGCTTCCACCATGGCTGCCATGCAACACCCCAACCAGCTCGAGCAAGAAGCTTCCTCCTTTCCCCCCTTTTTTTTTTTCTTTTTCTGAATGCAAAAGCATGATCAATAAGCTGCTGAAATAGCAAGTTTGTCTCTGAATACATAAATTGCAAAAATTGATATGAATAAATCCACAAGTAACACACTGAGTGTGGCACATTTCATTAAAAAAAAAAAAAGAAAAAGAAAAAAAAAGAGCCCTGTGCTGGGTTCCTGCGCTTTCCGGGAGGCGGTGTCATTACACATACCCAGGAACATCTGCAAACCCCAGTCTTCTTTGGTGTGAGCTGAATGGAAGCATGACCTCCTGTTCCTTGCCATGAACCTTGAGTTCACACTCATATTTTACATGTTACAGGAAGCCACAGCTCACCCCAGGGGTGCTGCAAACAGAATCTCGTAAGCCAGATGCAACACTGCTTCTTAAGGCACCTGAAGGAGCTGTATTCTTCATTCAAAAGCTTACATACTAGTAGCTTAAGGTCACTTCAGCTTTTGTAAAGAGCGGGACAAAACCAGGAATGCTTATAGGGCTGGGTTGTCAGCAGGGTAGCAGAGGGATTACAAGAAACCTGTGACTCTGCCTCTTTCTGCCTTTACTGGTAGTTTTTTTGTGTGTGAACAAGTGCCATACAACAGATTGAGGCTGGTATAAAGGCCTGGGACTGTGCAAGAGCACCCCGCTGAGCCTCAGCTGTGCTTGCAATTAGCAATAGGCATGAAATGATTATTGTTGTGGTGGCTGATGGCAATCTGAAGTGACAAGTTTTATGGGGGAAGTTGTAGTAGGGATGTTCAGCAAGTTTCTGCAAACCATTAATCGAAGGCTGCCACACAGTTTAGTCAAAGCTATTTTATGTCATTCCAAAGGTCTCACAAGGATGCTGAAAGAATATTTTTTCTGCTCTCAGTGCCTTGGAATGGAGTTTTTCTAGGTCAGGGATTCTTTACTGGCCTATTTAGTGTCAAAAATACCCATTTGCCTCAAATTAGCAGAAAGCTTGTAGTTAAGGGCTAGAGATTAGGCATACAAAATTACTCAGCAGGTGACTGCTGGGTGGATTTGGGGGTTGAGAAGTCTTTAAAACTGACTACAAGACATTATATACTTCTGACAAAAGAACACAGTAATCCTACCTGCTTGCTTTAACCACTGTTGTTTGTCTATTATTATGTGCTTTAATGCTCATAAGAGCAAAACTACTGGTGATACTACTCAATTACCATAGTAACTCTCCCCTATGACCTCTCATTTCAGTACTTGCTTTCCAACCAGAACCAATCCAAGCAGGGCAAATCTATTTAAAACTGTGACACACACTGCACAAGGAGGCTCCAAACGCCGGC